TCATCTAGATTTTGACAAAACACATCTAACTACACGGTAGTGGTGACGTAAGTGGACCCGTTATCATCAAAAAGGCGGGTTCCTTTCATCTTTGTATGTCTGTCATTGGCCTTGTGGCCTTTTTTTGAGGATCGAACTTGTAGGGCTCGAACTCAACCAACAAATGATGGTCTCACTGCTGGCTGTCCGCATCCGATCTCATAGTTGAGTGTTGTTCCCCTATCGGCAAACCGGGGTCCGTCACGTGATCAACAGCTAGGCACATTCGCTGATCAGAAGAGAACCCTGAGAACGGCGGAGAATGACATGCATCAAATGGCTCGAAAGACTTTGCTTCAAGCTCAAGTTGCCTTCAACCGCTGGTCAATCGTTAGCACAGCGTGAGAAGCATCAACTCACTGCGTGAAGCTGCTGCCACTGCCCGTCAGAAAGAAAAAATCTGGACACGTCGATGCACGTAATCCAGTAAAACTTTTTATAACTGGATATTCTCCATCATTTATTCTGCCATTTTGTTCTTAATGCTTCTTTAATCATGGCTTTGCGCTAAACCTTATGAAGACTTGGTGAAATGTCTGACTTATTTTCAATAGACCACCATCGAAACTGACTGATTTTCTTCTACTGATTGAATCTTTTTGATCGTTTGAAAAATACCTACATTTTTGTTCTTTTATTGTATGGACAAAAATTTGTTTAGAATTAGTATATTTTCTGAGATTCCAAGAATCATACGAATAGTTATATTTTCACCTAAAAGTGTTTCCATTATTTTTCTGCAAATGGATAAATTATAATGTACAGGACCTTACATAGGACGAAGAACGCAAGAAAAAAATTACCAGAGAAAATTTAGAGGAAGTAGGGACTTGACAAAATTTGAATCAAAAAAAGAAAACAAAACTAGGAGACACTACTGAGATAGAAGTCAAAGGAGACAGGACGAAACGCACATTCCTACGGAGGTGCAACAACGGTACTTTAACGAGTTGCACTCTAACGGTGATTATTGATTTGAAATGCAGGACGATGCTGTGATTGGCTGTTGTATAAGAGTTTATTTGTGATTGGCTGCAGATTAGTTCAGATAGACTCGGAGCTAATACAAATATACTGCGATCCGCAAACCTCTACACAACTTGGATACAGGATAACAGCACAAATTAAATATATGTGATTATTAACGCAAAGTAATGTACTGCAGTAGAAATGTGTATAAGAATGAAAAATGAAAAAACATGTAGTCTGAGAAAATCCAAAAACAAAGCATGTTCCATTCGAGAGATCTATCTTCCTTTTTGACATTGTTAAGAAATAACTGAACATTAACTTCTTTCTTCTCTTCATGAATAACTCGCCACCCGACTAAACAATAATCAGTTTCTCTTTGTACTTTTAAGTACCTGGAGATTTTGGATTCATTTTCCTAAAGTGCCATTCCTGCTCAAATTTCACATTGTGTAACTATCGTCTCACTCGCCTCGAAATGTTTTAGTTCCTCTCATGGTTCTGAGGTTTCAGCTTCAGACGCTGCATTTTCAATTTTCCTTGTAACCACTGGCCTCAAATTGGTTATTGTTTACTGCGATCATTTCCTGAAGCGGTTTGAACAAACAGAACGTCTCTGTAATGTTCGTTACACCTAATCTTCTCAACACGTTTCGCTATGGTTTAAACTTTAGAAAAATTGTCAGTCAGTTTCCATGACCGCTTATGCTTTAGGGTCGCGTAGGCAGGAGCGCTAGACAGTGTCTCCATGTCTCCAACATTCCTGAGCCTGAGCATCTGCAGAAAATAACCCGAGTCTGTGCAAAATCCTTTGAGACACTTGCGCGAGGTTTTCTATGTCGTTCACTACGTCTTCACCCGGTCTTCAGTTTGGCAAAGAGATTCGACCATGATATTCGATATTCATCTCGATGCTCAACTACGGTGGTGAGTTGAGGGCTATGACTGAAAATTTCGATCGTGGTTACAGGCGGCTGTAATTGGAGTTCTGAGACGGATCACAGGACCCACGCTTCTCAACATGGCCCTCTAAAGCCTTGGAGTATGCAGCCCGCTGCCTCTCCAAATTGAGGAGTCACGGCTGCGATAACGCCGATACGTTTCCAGAAATTAAATCGAAAAGCTACTACTTACTCAATGAGGCGACCAAAGATCCAGGCTATGGCCAAGAAGACCCTGGAGTAAGTGAATCGACGGACTTTGCTCCGGATTCGGGTTATCTGCTGCCGAAGCTCAAACCCTGGCACTGGATTGGAAACATTGGAGAAACTGTCTGACGTCCGTACCTCCGCCGTGGGAAATGATAAGCGGTCATTGGAACTGACTAACTGCGCTGCTCTGATGAAAAATGGACACATTTCGACCTTATTCAAGTAATAATAACCAAAAGGTTCATTTCTTGACAATGCCTCGATAATAAAGGGGTGAAATTCTATGAGAAAATTTGCAGATGAAGTAATCATAGCAAATGGAACTATATTGCGAAAATGTTTTGATCATAGAAACAAATACACAAAACAAGCACAACAAATGACAAAAATAATGCAGTGATTGATCATTAAATGCTGGAGGAAGTCACTGGGAAACTTCAGTTCAATGAACCTGCTGACTTTTCGCTGTGACAAGAAATGCTTTACAGTCCAGTCAACCCAGAACGCGGTTTCTGTCTTGTTCTTGAGAGCCAGTGAGCCAGCCAAGAACGAATGGTAGCCCTTTATCATGGACTTGTACTTCCTCGCCGCAGTCCTGAAAGTAAATTATATTGCAAAATATGTGAGTTTCCACCCTCAAGCGATAGTCAAACATAGAGGCTGCTTAAATTCCGCAACCAGGATTCATTATATTCATTCTTTGAAATAGAAGATGGCCGGAAACAGTTGGATTAGGAAGTATTCTCACAATTTGCAGCTTTCTTCAACTAGGTAGCTTTGCTTTTCTGACTTTTGTAAGGGTTGCTTTGGCGTACCAGAGATCACAAGTACAAGTAAGACCGA